GTGTTTTATTCAGAGACAACTTTTAACATAAGTGTCAAACTTGGGCTTATAGTATATCAGTTTCTCTGTAAGGAAGTTTGTTCTGGTTCTTGTTTTGAGTGATTTGATGACAAATTTAATCTCATTTGGTTGCTTAGAACCTTCTAGTTTTCACAGCTGCTTAACATCTTTTTGAAATTACTGTTTAGCACTCTGATTTGTGCTTGTGTTTTGGCATAATTCCCACATAGTAGATCTTACAAATTTACCTAGGAAATATTTCTGACAAATTTGTATTTACTTCAAAGATAAAATAAATTACTGCTATGAAAATGCATGTGCAGTCCCTGATGGAACTATTGAATTGCAGCAATGGAAATTCAGTTTTTTTTCTTTATTCTAATTAAAAAAAAAAATTCCTGTGTCTGCTGGGGTTGCAGCTGTATGACATGGCCTGCAATCTAAGCAAGCAAAGGGTACAGAAGAGAAGCTGTGATATAATGTGATCTCTATAAAAGTCATTTTCCAGTTCTAGTAAATGATTTTGTAATATGTCACTGACACTGTCTTGCCTTAAAGAATAGGTCTTCAAAAAATGGGTTACTTAGTTAACAAATGAACTTGATTATGTTCTGTATTGTGCTCTGACAGTGACAAATGCTACACAGCAATACTATTACTAAGCATGCAGTCTTCTCTTTCCAAAATAAAAGGCTGTGTTTTCATATTGTTTCAGTTGACAGCAAAAAGTTGAGACTTTTGCAGTGCTGAAGTGTGTAGTGATGGCTCGTATCTTTTTCTGCAACCATGTTTTGATAACAGGCTTGATAAGGAGAGCTTAGTGTTATCTGTTGAAGTAACCTCAGATTCTGCCTTTGTAATACAAGTTACTGGTGACTTGTTAAAAACCTTTTGTCCAAATGTTACACAATTCATATTCTGTAGCTGCAAAAAGCACATCTTGTTTAGAATATATCCCTAAATCTCTTCAGTTCAGTGCCCAGAATATCTTGCAGTTGCTATTGGAAACTCTGTTATTAGTCAACGGAGGACTTCCTCTTGGCAGCGCTGTATTTGTGATGGCATCCATGTTTGCTAGTCGCTGCATTTACAGTGGAACTTGTATTTCAGCCAGCTTTAAAAGGGAGGGGAAAAGGAAAGCAAATTAAACTTGACTTACTGGCATGAATTTGTTAGCTTCTTGTTACTTGCACCCTCATCTTCCAAGAACACCAACTGTAGCTGTAGTCAGGTTTGCAATAATAATTCTTCTTCTTGTAACTCAAGAGCTTCTATATATTCAGCTGTAAAACCAACACTCCATTAAAATCTAAACCATACATTCCAGTGAAACAGTGCTGTGCAATGTGCACGTACCCCGGTGTGCGGGGAGAGGACCGTTCTCCCACCCTCCCTCAGGTTGGGATCAAGATAGGGGAGTGTTAGAACAGTTTTTGAATGTGGTTTTGTCTAAAACTAATACTGCTTAACATGTCTCAAAACACTGCTTATTGCTCACATTACTGAGTGCTTGAATAGAATTTTAGAACTACCTATTGCTTAACTACAGATAATAGGGTCTATGCAGAGAATAAAGTACTTGAAATTAGTCCTTGGACTTACCTGGAGTAACTCTGCACCCTTACAGATCCGTATCCTTTTGACAGGCGCCAGCTGGATGGTTTTCAGAAATAAATGGTCATTAATCTACCTGCCTTATAAAGAAAACAAGCAAACAAACAAAAAACCAACAACATAAACACCCACCCCCAAGACACCCAACCAACCAACCCCCCAAACCCTAGTAGAGAAAGCTGTTTTTCAGCTGCTGAATGTGACATGGAAAACCTTTATCAGTGCACTTCATAGGTAAATGTATTTTGTTCTGTGGTGAGGAAATCCCCTGTATAAAGCAGTGCTGTGCTTTTGATGCCTCTCTAGAAGGAAGAAAGGCTGGGGAGTAATACGAAAGCTTGTTCAACCCACATGTCATCATAGGACTTTTATGGCAAGTCACGAAGAAAATGCTGTTCATCTGTACTGAGGACCCCACAGGTGAGCATTCCTGGTGTGCAGGCACCACCGCAACTGAAAAGGGACAAGCACAGCCCAGAGCCTACAAAGCAGCTGCTCAGAGACGTGTGCTGAGAGACCCAACAGAGCACATCAATCTCCACCCAGCTGTTGGTAGGGCTGCATATTGGCATGAATCTGCTTGCAGGTTTCTGCTCCTTACTAGGGCCTGTCCTCTCTGTTTTGTTGTTCTCCCCTTGGCCTCTGCACAGCA